TTGATTCGTCCTTGTCTTTTGTGGTGCATAAAGTACTTCTTTGTTGAAAATTTTGTGTCACGCTTGTTCTTATATATTCAATAGCTTCGTCCCCTTCTAGCCTAGCACCTTGGGCTGTAGTTATAAAACTCTGCTCTAGGCTCGTCTCATTTCTTAGGTAGTTTAGATGGTTCCAAAATTTCGCAGCTGCCTTTCCATCTTTTTTATGTACATTTGCCAGCCACTGAGCTCCCTTTCTTCTAATATTTTCATTGATCAGAAGGGATGCATCCCTTCTACAGCTTAGAAAGGTTTCCCATTTTCTTTCAACATCATCTGTCGGTTCACCCCACTACTTAGCATGTCCGTGTTCCCTAGAGGCTTCCTGACGTTTTGCTATGGCTCTCTTAACTTCCTCATCTCGCCAACTTTTGGGTTTGTGTCTTCTTTTCCGGGGTGACTTGTCACGCGTCTTGGCAAGCTCTAGCTCAAATAGTCTAATTAGATTCGTGTATGTCCACGCTGTCTTCTTACCCTCCGTGATTACTTTCTCAATTTGTTTAGTGGCTATTTCAATTTGCCTTTTTGGATAAAAATTTTTCTGTAGTTGCTCATCTTGCCTCCTTGCCACTTTCACTGCTCTTCCAAAACTTAGCTTGATACGTTTGTGATCACTACCCAGACTTTTGGAGCCACCTTCATCTATGTGCATTCCCCTGAGCTTATCATACATTCTATGTGACATCAGCGCATAATCTATCGTCGACTGCAGCCTTCCTACCTCCCATGTTATTTGCCCTTCACACTTCTCGGTAATGTTGGAAATGATCAAATCAAGCCTTTCACACATATCCATGATCATTTTGCCTGTCGGGTCGGTATACCCATCTATATCTTCTATGTGCGCATTCATGTCTCCTAGTATAATTATCTCGCACTCTCTTCCTAACTCCTGAATGTCCTTTGATATACACTCTACCATTGCCTGGTTTTCCTCTCTGGCCTTTGCTCCCGTCCACAAGTACACGAAACCAAGAAGTGTCATTTAACCTGCCACTTTCCCTTTTAGCCATAAATGTTCCTTGCACTCCTGCTTGACCCTTTGCCAGTCTGTACTTTTATGAATGAATGCCCCAATACCACCCCCCTTTCTGCTGCCTTCTGTTCTATTACAATATTCCCACGCGTAGTCCGGATTGTTCGGAGGTTGTTCCATGTCCCTGAGATGTGTTTCTACAAAACCGTATACCATCAGCCTCTCTTCCCTTAGCTGTTCTTTTATCTCTTCCCACTTCAGCCTGTTCCTACCACCCTGCATGTTATTATACCCTATGTCTGAATTGGCTCGGCACTCGTGGCTACGTCTATTTATGCCCTGGACTCTACCTATCTTAGATATTGGTGCCACTTTGGAATCGTATCTGTCCATACCACCTGTCGAAGAGTCTCCTTGGTTGTTTTCTTCGTTACTAGCTATCCTGCACACCGAAGGGCTCGCTTGCCCCCCAAAAAAGCTACTGCGCGTCCTGCAAGTCGCCAACCCACCTCATGACCTAGCCGCCCATCGAAGTGAATTCTGTTTCGTTGAAAACCACCCCACCTATGCACCTCTCTGTTTTTTTCCACCACCTCAAAGCCTTTCTCTCGACTCATCCGCCATATCTCTTGGTTTGCGTTGACAACCGCTCTTTGCAGGTTGCTATCACGCACCTGTACCTCCGGTATCGTGCATATCACTACCTGTACCTTAGGAAAAGTGGCGCGCATGTCATCGACGCCTTTCGCCAGTGTGGTTGCTAGTCCTGATGTACCTTCATTTAAGACATCGTTTAAAACACCTGAAATTATCACGAGGTTTCGTCTATCAGCTGTAGTTTTGAGTTTTGCGCTCGCTTGCCTCATGACTGCTTCAAGCTTGCGTCGTGGGAACGCCCCTACTGCAACCCTTTTGTCACCTTTTACCCTCTCTTTGATGGCTTCTGTGCATCGATTTAAATTCGAGTCCCCGGCGATTATCACATGCTGTGACTTTTCAGCTGGAGCGTCCTGCACCTGTGGGCTACTTGCACCTGTGACGCCGGCTGCTTTGTCTCCTCCCAGCCCCACCACTACCTCGCTAAAGCAGGGCCTTGCGACTATTGAACCGGCTGAACCTGTTTTTTCCAAACTTGTTTGCTCTTCCTTCTCCACCGTTCTGGTTCCCTACTGTTCTTTCCGTAGGCCGCTTCTTTGTTCAGCTTCGCTAGTGCTGCCTAGGCGGATTTTAGTCTTTCTCCCATTGCCCTCGTTTTCTCTTGCTCTGTCGCCAACGCAGTCTCGAGCTCGGCGATTCTCATCAGCAGCTCACTCTGAGCAACCATCATTTTCTCCAGTTTTTCCTCGACCTCACATTGCTTACCTTTCACGTCAGCCTCTTCTCCATCCGCTTCTACGCTTGGGTCCACTTTCAAACCCACTCCACATCCTGAAAACTTTACAGTCTTTTTAACCATGTCTTTCTGACACCAACTGTCCCTATACTTGATAATTACTAAACTCAAGCCCTGCACTACGAAAAAAAAAGGAAGTCTAGGTGCTGTGTTGGGGCTGGCTGGTCCCGACGAAGCAGAAGAAGACGGCCGACGGAGACGTACGCGACCGGCAGGGACGCCGACCAGCCCGAACACGCGGGTTGGCGCGAAGCGCCGAAGAAAAGAACAACAAGTGCACTCCATGGTTACCCAACACACACTGCTTTTATTTTACAGTCGCCTTGAATTTCTAGATTAAGGTCCCTAGATGAAACAAGGTAGCGTCACTCATTGTTCTCGAGCCGTCCTCCTCACTCTCTCAATTACTCCTCTTTTTTCTCTGTCATCCGCGTCTGTAATTGGTGCATTACTTGCACGTGATCTTGCAAATGGCTGGTGGTGTTATTTATTATTATGCAAAAGGTTCAAAACGAGTACGCATGCGCATATGGCTCCAGCCGGATTCTCGCCGTAACCAAATACAAAATTGTAGCCAGAACATAAACTGAAGAGGAGGAGCGTTTCGGTGTGCGCTAAGTCGACCAAGTTTGTTTCGCCATGCTCGTTCAATGCAACACCTGCGTTTTTCAGCAATGCTGCGTTGCCGTAAACAACAGAAAATGGTTTCGCTCTCTTCAACTTACCTCGTGCTTTCCGAGATGAAGCGCACCATGAAGTGCAACTATGAACCATTTCACGCGAATGCTTTCGTGCAACTCCGTCAACGTATGTCGACGCGGATCTGAGAAGCGAGTTAGTTCACTTGTCGGTTTTCATTGAAACGCCAGGCGCGCGTCTAATGCGTGTCTAGTGCATGCCAGTTGGTACAAATACATGTGGGTATGCACGTATACAGAACAGCTGTAGGTTGTAATCAACGCACCTTCAGAAACATTTCACTCTTGACCAGTTCCCGCTTGAGCCGAAACGCGCTGCTTCGAGACACCTCACAAGTAGAACTCTCACTTTTCAGGAAGTTCCCAGCACCGCATCAGAATCACTTGGCATCACGATTGTCCAAATGAGCACATTTAAAAAAAAAAAAAAAAAAAACGTCATCGCAGTGCTGCTGGACGAGTGTTCGTAAGAGTCTGGTCGTAGTTTTTTTTCTTGCGTGTGCACAAGCCGGTTGTAATCAATCGTCACAACATGACGCCCTGTGGCCACTTACAGGATCCAGCAAGAAGCACGTTCACTGTGTCACAGCACGAACAAAACACAATCGGAGAAGTGGGCTAGTTAGAACTGGACGAAATACCACGGCCGTGGAACTAAACTGTACTACGCGAGACGCCATGGCTAGTGGTGTTAAGTATAGAACTGCCCAACGTTGCCGGTTGAGTAACGCACATTCCGCTTGCTCTTGTGTTGTGCCGTTTATGTTCATAAAGGTAACTGTTTATTCTACGTCTTACTTCGTTCCATTTTGTTTCATTTACATCTATTCACCGTAGCAACAGAATCCAAACATTCGCTTTTGGATGAAAGTTTTAAACCTTCTAGGGAGCGCTTCAGGCAAATAAGTGAGGAGGAAAAGGGAGGGTGTCGCTACCTTGGAAACTTGTTTCATCTAGGGACCTTATCCTAGACAACGTTTTTAGAACAATTCAGTTTCACAGCTTCCCATAGGCGCCCACTATCCGGCGCGGCCGCATAGCGTGTCGCGGCCGCTAGGGGCGCTGTAGGCATGCTTTGCTCCGCACTCTGCGCGTCGTCTGCTACACCGGAGGAAACGCGGTGCGGCGCGGCCGTGTTACCGCTCGCATTTCAAAGCGTTTCGCTTTGCTGGCGGAACAGTTCGTGCCAAAGCAGCAGTTTCTTCGTATACATGCATTTCATTGTTGCTGCGCCCATTTTCATCTGGTGGAATTACGTGTCTGGGCTCCATCTATAGCTACCGTCGCCAGTACATTCTTATGTGGGCATAGGCGGCCTCGCGCGAGCATAACTGTAAAAAAAAAAAAAAAAGACACCCTTCAAAGAAAACGTAGAAGCAGTAAAACTTTTTAAAAGCATAGTGCTCGTTTCTGATGCCACATAGTCATGCGCCGTTTACCGAACAGACTCTGATTTCGGTGTTTTTTTTTTTTCCTTTCCTATTCCCGTGAATCTTATTTGAAGATAACATGGTGAGAATAATAATACGGAGAAAGTAAAAATGCCCAATTCAGAAGGAACATATATTTTCTTGCACATACAGATTAGTATTGCATCGTTCACTGAGCAAGAAAGGCAGCTCAAAGCAGCTTAGCTTTTTTTCTTGCATTTTGAACTTTTTCCGTGACAAGCAGTTCACGGTTCTTCTTTCGAGAGAAGAAGTGCATGCACATCAAACAATAGCATTTGATTATCTTTGCGGTGAGGAATTCATGGTGCTCATTACAACCAATTGCAGGCAGTGCAGTCGCATGAAGCCTGTCCAATACCATCCAGAAAATATCCCCGAACACTGCCGACGTTTCAAGCGTATCGTGCACAACCTCTTCTACTTCCTTAATTAATGCGTACAGCCTAAATGAGGCCTCTCGAAGGCATCCTGGCTTGAATGACCTCAACTCTGTCAGGCGCCTCTGGTTGAGCTGTGTTTCCTCGGAGTTGAACTGATCGGGAGAAGCTGTGAGCAACGCACAGCATTCTTCGCACGTTATTGTTTTCGTGATTTTCTGGGAGTTTTGTGGGAGTTGCCATGCTGCCACTAACACCTAGCTGTTGCCACATGGACCGGTTGTTTCCCGCACCATCGCTCACAATGGAAATGACTGTAGCATTATGCTTGTGAAGGCGCACCACTGCTTCCAGGACTAGTTCCGCCAAAATTTTGCCAGGAGCAGCACCTTTTGTCGCGAACGCTGCAATTGGCTGTACCCAGGATTCAAACAGAGGAACAAACATCAATACTAGCACATGGTCGGCTAGCTGGTTGGTTCCTTCATTCGTGACGCCTCCATAATCAACAAATCCGTCCATCTTGTAGCTGCATTTGTTGAAGTCATATGCCTGGCGCAACTTGATCTCGTCTAAGATCAAAGACCCCAACCTTTGCTCATCTGCTTTTCCATGAAACTGCTTCTGTATAGCTTCCAGACAAACGGGGTTGAAGCCGTGCTTGCACGGCAAGCCTTTCAAAATTTGTGCCAAGCGGCTAAGAGAAGGCAGCGGCAACATTTTCATCTCGCTAATCAGCTTGTATGCCCGTGGACTTGAAATTCTCAGCATCAAGCAGTTCAAAATCCACTCAGAATTATACCCCATGCCACACGGAGCTTCTGCTTTGAGTGACTTCAGTGCTGTCAGGAATGCCAGGCGTTGCAAGTGAGGAAGGCCACTTAAAGCTTCTTCTATTCCTTGGTAGGAAGCCTTCGCAAGCTCCTGTTTGAGCAGTGTGATTTCTTGCTTCCCCTTCTTCCTTGCAGCTGCAGCTCGGAAAACTTTTTTGGTCAAGTATCGCATTTTTTTGCTTTTGTTCACCGCTGCCTTCATTGGCTTTCTTGCTCGCATTCGCCTTCGGAGGCGTAGGCACCGAGCACATACAGGTCGAGTTGTGAGGACAGAACACAGCTTGTGATGGACATTTTCTAATTTTCCTGTCACACCAGTGTGAGCTACCTGAATGCCTGAACAGATTTTCAAGCTATCTGTCTCATTGAGCAGGTGCTCGACGCTAGCAGTGCTGTCTACAGTCTTATGCAGTTGCTTGTGCATCTTGTTGTAACCGTTCACAACACAGCTACCATCATTTTTCACAATAACGGCCTTGCTCACTTTGAGCTCCCCTGCCACAAGTCGCCTGTCGAAAAAAACACCGCAAGTTTGCCCAGAACATTCATCGACGATGAGTTCAAGCTTCCAGTCCCTACTAGATAACGGCACTGTCACCAGTTCGTTCAGACAAGCACCGGAGGAGTTCGTTGCTGAGGTGCTAGGTGGTGGCGTGATGCCCACTGCTCCAAGCGAATCGCCTAAGGACAAAGAGGCCTCTCCACACGAGCCACTCGAACAAGACGCACTTTCCGCCGATGCTTCCAAGCCGATTTCGTTCCGCTTTTTCGGTGATTTTCGCGTGCATTTCGTATTTCCTGGCTTGTGCTCCGGCAAGCCAGGAAAGAGACGCGGCAACGCTCCTGGCACTAACTTCCAGTTACCACGGGGAATTAAAACCTCCTGGCCCTTTACAACATGCTTGAAATACTTCACAATGTCTTGCTCTTCGAAATGTGTCTCACATACCTTGGACTTTTGCGTGAGGCGCCTGTCCTTGCGGTGCAGCATGTGTTCCCATTGTTTAAACTCCGTGGCCTTACGTGGTAAGGTAAAAAAATGATGATTTGCGGCGTCATTTCTGTAGCCACTCGTACATCCCGGCGCAAAATACGAAGGCATTTTCACAACAAAAAAGCGAACATTCGGAAACCGGAAGATTCAGGCGCACGTGTGGGGAACGAAATCGCTTCGAACGACGCGCGCCGCCAAAGCACCCGCCTGTCCGCGCGCCCAAGTGAAGAAAAGCGTGACTGCAGCGCCACTAGTTCGCGTGACCGCCACCACGGCCGCCTCGGGAGGGGAGCTGTGAAACTGAATTGTTCTAAAAACGTTGATCCTAGATGCCAGAGCGGCGCCCCCTGGCATCCTCACATCTCATTTCGAAACCGAAACCGAAAACCCAGAACACAACAATCATCCCCTCCTTGAAAAAAGTTCACCTATACACTGTTTATATTTATACATGATCGATACCAACATCTTTTACAAGGTATGTACATTAGAACACATGAAAATTAAGAGCACGGCACACCGAACTCACACACTACGAGTCCTGAAAATGCACTGAAAAAATGTACATTGGAAGTCCTGAAAATGCACTAAAAATTATATACAACTCAGTACAATATAGATTTGGATGCATTGGACCTTTGCACAGAACAATAATGTTTACGAACAGTAATGAACAAGAGTTCTACGTCACGTAGTCTTCGAACCGACGCGGCTTCTGCCGCTTCCGCTTAGGGCAGGCCCTTCTGGGTGTAGAATCAGGTGTCTCTGCACCTTGGTCACTTGTGCTCTGATGTGACACATCAAGAGCAGTAGAAGATTGTGAAGGCTCTGAACGAGCGTTAAAATTCGCGGTCTCATCAGAGCACGCAGCATGAGCTTCGGAAGAATTTTGCGGACCGAAGTCCGGTTCAACGGTCTCAGCCGTATTTGAAGGTTCAAAGTAAACCGTAAGACTTGGTGTACTTGAACCAGCGACACTGACTGGGAACTCCTCCCCCCTTGAAGAAGAAATGCCTGTACATGGAGGCCACATGTAACAGTCTGATGCATAGTTGAAAGGTGTAGACGGAACGTGATGAGGAAGACTTTTAGGTGTTGAAGGTGAATCCGTATGAAAAATAACAAGGCGCGAAGCATTCCAGATGTTATCATCACTTAAGTGAAAAGAAGAGGGGCTAACCTGGCCCAAGACTTTGTAAGGACCACGATACTTGGTGCGCTTGCCTGGCACACGAACCTTGACTAGATCGCCAGTGCGAACTTTGGACTGCTTTGCACCTCGACGGGTGTCGACATACTTTTTCATTGCTTGTTGATGAGAAAAAACCCTGGTACGGATTTGATCACGAGAAGACACTGCTATGTTACGAGGCAAAGAGACTATGTCGAGAGCAACTCGCGGTTGCCTACCGTGAAGAAGTTGAGCAGGAGACACTCCAGTGGTGCCTTGTGGTGTGAACCTGTACGAAGCTAAACATTCAGTCAAGACTTGCCTGAGGGGACGGTGCTCTAATTGGGCCATCTGGATATGTTCCTTGAGAACGCGATTAAAGCGCTCGATTTGCCCATTTGATTGGGGATAGGAAACTGATGACCTCAAGTGCTGAATTCTTCGTTGTGAAAGAAAAGCCTCGAAATGTTGGGACTGAAACTGTGGACCATTGTCCGTAGCTATGGCATCAGGAAAACCTTCCCGGCTGCAGATTGAAGACAGAAACTCAATGACGACCTCAGAAGTAACCGCATGTGTGAAACAAAGCTCTGGCCATTTGGAATGGTAGTCAATGAGAGAAACAATGAACCGGGCATTTTGCGGAACATTATGCAAAGGACCGATGATGTCCATGCCGAGTTTCGGCCAAGGCCGATCAGGCCACTGGACTGGCTGCAACGGAGAAAAGGCAGGTTTGGAAGACTTGTCAGCTGCCTGACATATATGGCAGTTGTAAACTGCGCTCGACCTGCTTGTTTAAGGCTGGCCACCAGTACCTGTCTCGGAGATTCTGTTTGGTGCGGACAATGCCTGGATGGGCCTCATGGGCAAGCTGTATTAGCTTGTTACGGAAAGAAGCAGGGGGAATCACGCGTTCATCGCGGAAAAACAAGTCCTCGACACAAGACAGTTCCTGTCGGACTGCGAAGTAAGGCAAGAATTCAGAAACAAGAGCACATTTGGAAGGCCATCCTTCACGTAAATATTTGAGAACTTGAGACAAAGTGGAATCTGCAGCTGTAGCTGCCTGAAACTCGGCTTTAGTAATGCAGGAAGTAACTAATGAAACAACTTCCTCATCCCGCTCTTCAGTAACCGGTATCTGAAGAGGAAGGCGCGACAGTGCATCAGCAACCACGTTATTAGAACCTTTGCAATATTGAACACTGAAATAATAATACACGAGTTTGGCACACCAACGGGAAATGCGAATGGGGCGGCGGCCTTCAGGATCCTGCAGAAAGAAGAGCAACTAGTGCTTAGTGATCTGTACATAATGTGAAGTGCCGGCCCCACAAGTAAACATGCCATTTCTCACAGGCAAAAAGACACGCCAGAGCTTCACGCTCTCCTAATGAATATTTGCGTTCAGCAGGGGTCAATGTACGAGATGCAAAAGCGATAGTGATCAGCTGATCACCTCTGAGTTGTTGAAACACTGCTCCCAGTCCAACATCAGACGCATCCGTCGTGATGACGATGGGAAGCTTCTCATTGAAAATACTAACAGCTAGCTTTGAGGCCAGTATTGACTTAAGTCGAATGAAGCTCTGCTTCAGCTGACCAGTTAAAAGGCTGTGCTTGACGAAGTAAAGTACGCAGTGGTTCAACAACATCCCATCCTCGTCGCCATTGCTGTGTTGGGGGCTGGCTGGTCCCGACGAAGCAGAAGAAGAACACGGCCTTGGGGCATTGACAATGGCCTGAACTTTAGATTCAACAGCGGTCAAGCCGCGCGAACTGACATTATGTGCTAGAAATTGTAACTAATTTACAGAAAAAATGCACTCCCAGGTAGCACAAAACATTAAAGTAACGTTGTATTTTTGTTGCGAATGTTGAAGAAACGTTTTATGTTTTCCAACAACGTTGTCTAAACGTTTTACATGAAACATAACAGTCTTTGTTGAATGTAAAACGTTATATATATATTAGAAATACACTGTTAAAGTAACGTTGAATGTGGAACATTAGTGCAACATGCAAACAAAACACTGAATGTTATATTTCAAACATTAAAAAAATGTTAAAATTGCATAAAGAATTAACATAACAGGTAAACATTCCAGTAATGTTCATGTAGTATTTTATCATCATTATTTGCGAAAATGCCCATTAACCAAGAAATTTAATAAATTATAACTGCAGAGAAATACTTCATGATGTACAGAGAAAACATTAAATTTCATTTAAAAAATGAAATTGGTTTTTGCTAAGTGACAATTGATAATGATAGTTACAATAACATATAGTGCAGTCAAACTGTGGCTATTCTTCAATTGATGTTGCAACTATTCTATGCATGCTTATGAACTGGTTTTACTGCTTGAAATGTCATGCGCAGCTATCATTTGGTTATGTATTTGTAGTAGCTTTCAAGTTTCTCACAAATCACTGTGGTATATATTACAGTGATGTGTGAGAAACATATGCACATATGTACTTTAAAGTACATTTGTACTTTAATAGCCAAAGTACCATGGACGTCGGCATGAATGAGTTAAGTCTTGGCGAAGGAGGGGGGGGGGTTGCATTGCAGTGGGGGGTGCTGGTGTGGCTTGGGCAAATGATGCTTTAAATGTGCATGCCCCTGCTGATTCCCAAGAACACTGGTGACTCACAAAAGGTTGGAAAAACAGTAACCCTATTTCTTTATTGAGGTCCCAATGCTTTACATGTGGGAGTGAGCCAAACAATTATTGTAAATAAAACAAAGATTCTAAGGCTTCGCTAAAGCTATCCAAGTTTGAATGATGGTGATGCTCTTGGAAAGACCGTTCCAGTCCTGGGTGGTCTAGCAAAGGAACGACAGAGGGTCACAGTGCAAACAAGAGGTAGGTCGACAGCCTTGTGGTAATGTGTGTGGGGTGAAGTATGATGAGCAGTTTGAAAGTTATATTCAAATGTATGCATTCGGTACTACAAGTACATTCTAGTGATTGTGCATTGCAGGTATACATTATGTACGCCTGGGTTTGTCCTTATCTAAGCAACACTAGCTGGTACAGTACGAGTAACAGTAAGGTAATTGGAACAGATTAATATAACTACACGGTTTAGGTCAAGCTCCACAGACTTCATTTGGGCTGCGTTCAAATTGCAGATGATCAATTTTGGGCCAATTCATGTTTTGTAAGCTCAAAAATTTGACTCATAGAGGGGCAAAATGCAAGTTATAATGAAAATAGCCAGAAGCTTTGTAAGTATTGTTAACTATCTTAGTTCAGAAGACGTTTAGATTCTGGTAATTCTTAAAAGACAAGAGACTTAACATAATTGAGAGACTACATCGTAGTGTGACTTCACCAGGCTTTTGCGATCCTTTAGACTTCTATCAGTGAAGCTGTTTAGGAAATCGCGAGTAGGTGGCAAAAGACTATCATTGTAACAGGTATGTGACTCTATGCAGCCTACCAGAAAACTATCATCATCATAAATGGGTATGTGTGACAGAAATTGAGAAAATTTTACTACTCGCCTCTGGTCCACTAATAATGATGAAGGCAACAGTTAGCCCAACAAATCGCTTCAAAGCAACAGCGAACCGAAGACCCCTGAGCCCCTATGAGAAAATACTAGGAAATGAGAAAGGCAACAGCAGTGGCGAGAAGACCCCGAAGCAATGGAAGGCCTGTGCTAAAGACGTGCCTATCGATTTATAAGAGGTGTGGACGCTCAGTTTCAGGGAGAGCTTTTGTCTCTGGAATTTGAATAACCGTGTCGTGCCTGTGACTGTCTATGGGCTTCTTTGATCTAACAATCAACGTAAAAACAACCTAGCATCACCTAGCTAAAGCCTAGAAGCAACCATATAAGTCTTCACAATCGTCCAGTTTTGCTGTTTCAAGCCTTGAGCGACCTAGTACAAGTTTTGCCAATTCTTGTACGTCACTGCATTAGAAGCAATATAAATATTGTGTATAGTTTCTGCATCCACCAGAATCTGAGATAATTTAAGGGACTTTTATAAATAACATGACAAAACATTTCACATCTCAATAAGAATTACTGTTCCTAACAAGTATGGTAGCGTGAGCATGTAAATAATGCTCCTCATTCTGGCTTGTTTTCATTCACCGTCTCAACATCAGCAGCCAAAGCTACAGCAAAATGACAGAGGCCCATGTACAGTCGTCAGTAAGCTTAGCTTGACTGCTCCACAACATGTCCTGAAGCAGTTTGGTTGATACCAGTGCCACGCAGCTTTGAGTTTTGTTGTCGAGGTGTTACGCATGCATGCACACATACAATCCAAGCTTACCGACCTATTATCTCGGCAACAGTGCCCAGTGTTTCGCGGCTCGCCTCAGTCAAGCCAGTCCAAGACACGCTGTGGAGCGTTCGAGTTAAGCTTTCCGACAATTGTGCGGTGCAATGTCGTTTAAGAACACCAGATAGTTGAAATTCCTAAAGCTCTCTGTTACAGTGCACTCATATTCATATTGTGGTTTTGGCATGTAAATGCCCCGATGATATTATTATTAAAACTACACAAAGCCAGACATAAGGACATGACAGTGAAAGTAGTCTGGCTGTTTAAATTCCAGTGCATAAAAGAAAACAGAGCAGTAGGAACATTTAACATGAGCAGTCATGTTGTACATTCTCTGTGTGCAGTCTGCTCTTGTGCAACAATAATTTAACAAGAGCCAATACTAGATTTCACACCGTTTCTGTCATGTGCACCTTGATATTGTGTTAAATTAATGGAGATATAGCAATTCGGTCAGGATTGTAGGCACTGCGTTAATAGGATGAGGTTAGTTTCTACATTTCATCTGGAGCACAGCCCGAATGAAATTGGCCGAAAATGAGACGTCCCATGAAAAGCACTACGCTAACGTAACTCCTTAGCCAGAACAGCAACAGGGAAGCTACATATATGAGACGTAACGCAAGTGTGCCAGTAACACACCTCGTAGGCTGTACAACTGCATGCAGTCGGCCACTCGGTCAAAATAGCTGAACACTAGTCAGGAAATGTCCTGCCGAAAGTCAATCCGTGCATAGACATGACATCGCAACCAACAAAATATGGTCAACGGGCACATTCTCGTCTTCGCCGCCTCGGTGAATCATGAATGCAAGGCGTGAAGACAGCGCGCAAAGGCAGTGTGCAGCTGGGCTAGCTACCCTTGCTGGGCCGCACCACGAACTGAACCTAATTGGTAACAACGCACCAACCACCTTCCACGATCAAATCAAAAGCACAGTAGGCGAGCGCTGAGAGTCTCAAGATCTGTGAAGGCCAAACTGTGCGCCGAATGTCAGCGTCCGGTGTATACACATGTCGCAACACGAACAAATCACGAAGAAACCCTACAGTTTTGCAGATGATGCACACACACTCCATACGTTTTGAGACGATGCTCCATATCAAATTTTTTAAAACTTAAGCCACTTCACGGGTTTTTTTACTTCTGTCTTTGCTCAACTAAGAAGGTAGCGCTTGTGAAAATTTACTGATGTTTAAAAAAACGTATTTTATTTAGTTGACAAAAACGTTCTATATTTATTCACAATTTGTTTTGTTTTGCAAATTTGTTTTTTGTTGCAGCACCAGCAGTTTTATTCAGATGCAGCGCTTAATTTTTCTATGTTCTGGCTCGAGTTGGCAACCATGAAAGCGTCTCTGTTTTCTTGCCGAGCGTAGACAATTGTGACGACGAGACCGGCGCGCTTTTCGTTCACGCTTGTGAAGATAGTATATGAAGGTAAGCATAAATGAGTTCATTGCACTTTAAAGCTGCTACTCTCGATGAAGTGAAACTACTGCATGCATGTAATACCAATGTCACGCGGAACCGCGCCGTGGCTGACGCAAAAGTACAGGAGGGGTCAACAGTTCGCAGGCCACGCTGCCATAGAAATACATAGGATAGTGGCCTAAGAACTTTTGACCAACCCTGTACGTCGAAACCACAATGATATAAAAACCAATTCTTCGTTTTCCGAGATAACTGCCAGATAGCGCTCATGTCTCACGTGTGACGTGACTTTATGCCCTCGTTCACCTCTGCTTCACGCTCGAGGCACTCTAACACAGTGCCTCCAGACTACCGTTCACCGATTTTCTTGCGCAGAACATCAAATAAACATTTTGTTCACTCTCTTCAGACGCAAGACTATAGTCTTTCGACGACATTTGCAGTGTAATACCCGTGCCACACGGGCATAGAAAATGACATTTGGAGGCGAAGGCCTTCAGTTCCCGAATGACATTCGTTTCGCCGGCGCTGCTACACGTCCAAAGCGAATGACATTTGACTTGATGATGTCGATCACAGCACCTTCCAAGTGAGCATTGAGTGAATAGCAATAAAAAAATTTAAGGAGCATTTACAAGCTTCATACACATCAGATAATCATCAAATGTAGAAATAAGCGTATTACGCTGTCCTACGTTTTAGTTTCTTGCTTTGTTTTACAACGTTGCAGCCGACCGTAGCAACCTAAGCCAACACTAGTCAGATCCACAGCGTAAATATACACTAAAATTGACAAGCGTTTCATTATCAATACTTTATTTTCTTCGTATAACGTTAAAAGCATCTTTTTAAGACTTGAGAGCAAATAAAAGACGGGAAATTTCAATTTTAGCTCAATACGATTTGTTTTATATACTTTCAGGTACATCACACTTCGCGAGCTGTGTCGTCGAGAGTAGGCATTTCTCAGGCAACTGAGTTCTGGCGAAGGCAGTTGGTGGCGAATGGCATTTGGATGAATGCCATTTTGTTCGCCCGTGTGGCACCGCGCGAATGGCAATAAATCTGAAGGCATTCGTGGGTAAATGCCATTTTTTCTGCCCGTGCGGCACGGGTATAACATGAAGATTCGGGGCCAATTCTTTTTTTTTTTTTTTTTTGCAGTGTTTACACAGGGCTTGGTGCTACTTATAAGACTGGAACCTAATCTCATTATGCTTCTTGAGTTATTGTTATTTTAGGGCAAGTTCATGTGGGCTTACTGACCTTATAATGTTACCTAATGTTTCCAGATGTATTCAGTCATTCACTTCAAAGAAAGTGGAGACGTTGCTGCAGTGCCATCATGTTGGGTTCAGGGCAACAAGGTATTTTGGCCTCCATACAGAAATGCAACAAAAGTGACGTCGGCTATCAAAAACAAAGTTGAACCGGAAGCCTACTGAACGCAGTATTCCGGTGCTATTTTGTCAACAACAGGTAAATTTTGTTCAGCTATACTGGCTGGTATATTGGCACTGTTGGGAGGTGGTCAGTGCTATAGCTGAGAAAGCATGAGCTTTGCACAATAAATTTAGATAGCAATGCCAGTTGAAATTTTTCATTGACCATATGAATGGTTGCCTCTATGAGCCATTCTTGTAAATAGCTGCTATTAGGTTACCAGCGTCACAAATTTATTGCCTTCACTATCCCCCTTCACGGGGGTGGCGATTTGGGCTTGTTGGTATCGTAGCATGATGATTGAGTGCAGGCCAAAGACATGGACAAAAGAAGGTACATTCAAGACACCACAGTGCTATAAGCGCTGTGGTGTCTTGAATGGGCCTTCTTTTGTCCATGTCTTTAGCCTGCGCAACCATTTATTATCGCCATTCATGTTTTTGTCATTCTCTTGCATGTTAAAGTTCCTCTTCATTTAACATAAGCTGCTCCCTTCTGCTGTGTGCCAACATAATGTGAATATATTCTTCTCCGTATTCTTAATCTTTTGCCTTTTTCTGTGTTTTGTGCATGAGTTATGAAGGAAAGATTGTATGTAGAGTAACTGCACATAGTTCATATCCTTCCTCAGACAGTTACGAGGCTGCGAGGAGGCGGGAAGCCAAGGCTGAGGACCAGCTATACGGACTAACAACGGAAGATGAGGGGCGGCCTAAGAAGCGAATTCGACGTCCTCCAAGGCTCATGCATGAATATTCGTCTAGTGTCAGTTCCGAAGAAAGAGAGCCGGATGCTTTGCAAGACAGTGCCATAAATAAGTTCATTAGTGGCATACCAAGATCTACAACTTCAGGACGAAGAGTAGACTCTTTCATGTCAAATCAACAGAGTTGTGCGGTCGAAGTCTCACCAGCTCCAAGTTACGAAGACCCAGCTCCGGCACCCTGCTCTCAGGCTGGAAGTAAGTCTAAGATAAATACTCTGGAAGGGCAAGGGCTTCTTCTGCGCGCTGTTTCTAGAATAAGCTCGACTGATTTAAAGTTTTAAAACTGAACTAATGGATTTTTAAAATCCTATCTTCCAGGTCGTGACCTCCCATCATTGAAGAATTTGGAAAAGAAGGCAAACACAGGAGCTCCTCAGTGCCATCACTGCGGAAATGGCAAGTAAAGTTTGACATAAACAAATGAGTGAAATGTAATCTATTGATTATAAACGGCAGGGACATATTGTTAGAATAGCTGCAAGTTGAGCTGGTTTGTATGGGTTCTTCATAGGAGTTAGGCATCTACTCGATTGAATAAAGAAGTCAAAAAAACGACACAAAAGCCAGCTAGTTGGTAGCTCCCATTTGACATTTGTGTTGTTGATTTTCTCTTCTCTTTTTGTCATGCCTCCATGTGTAACCCTTTGTAACACAGTGCCCTCTTTAGACACGTGACTTTCTTGTGCCATTTCTGTGCACTGTTAGAAAAAACAGACCTCAAACACTGAAATGATGGTAAATTAAGCATTCTTGTTGTTTAAAGTTTATTTATACCGCCTCTTGTTGAAATATTTTGCTGCACACGATTGGTTTGTGACAGCAGTACTGTGTTTGGGACAGGCAGGGTGTGTCCCAGTAGGAGTTCAAAATAATTTTACATGTTTAGGCTGGTCACTCTCACCAGATGACCATTGCATGTGATTTGAGTGGGTCGTTCGATAAGGTTTATGAAAAAACATAGAATAACTGACTTCACTATAATTACATGATTAGTTATAGTTATAAGGAGTTTTTGTGAAATATGTCAGTTTATTCTAACACTTCTGCTTACTTATATTTGGGTCCAGAACATTGGCATCAAATTATATAATTTTCTGGCAATTGTAGACAGCCTATCATAGTGCGGGTCACAAAGGAATAACTACACAACCAAACGCAATAGCCCTTGTTAGAACCATTTTCATAGCTGGTGTTTCTGCAATTTTCACATCTGCTGTCTGCCACATGCATAAGCTTATTTCTATCATACTCGGTCTTTTTAAAAATACTGAGGTTAAAAAAATTATAGATGTTGTGCTATACTCAGTGACAACTTGTCTTGGCATTGCAGCGAAAGCTACAGAGCCAAAATTACGGGCATCCTACCGCCAGTGAATGTGGTTCCACAATAGTGCCCGTATTTTCACCATGAAATATAGATAGAAGTTCCCCCTTTATTTTCTACGAGGAGCAATTTGAGACAGGTCGTATTTCCTATCATTAGGATCGTTGTATTTAATTTATTCGTTGTGACTTCGCATTTCTGAGGGTGCAAAGAAATCCCACCTTTTTACGTGCACCTCAAACGCTAAGCGACGTCTGCATCTATACATGAACCACTGATGGTGCGCCCCCGCCACTCTCTATAGCGTTAAGAGACGCACGCCAAAACGGACTACTTCGCGTAGTGCTACATGTGCAGAAACTCCACCTCCATAGCTTTCCGTGCAGTGCCAAGAAAAGTTGTTGCTTAGTATAGCAGTTATTTCACTCATTCTTTTCTTTTGTGTAATAGTTTACATTAATCTAGTCTAATCAAGAGCCAATTGTATCATTCGCTGTTTATTCAAGTGCAAGCATCAGCAGCCGATCTGTCAAGCTTTATTTTCTTTCTTTTTCTGTCGTAATATGATGTGCCTTTCTTTTGTTCAAAAATCGACATGACGGTGCAATCATATGGTAAATTTTTTTCTTTCCATCAGTTCTTGCAAAAGTGCTCACGCAGGTTGAGCATTTAAAAATGCAGCTAGCTGCATAAAGTGCAGTTCTGACAAGAATTGAGCATCGCCTAAATCAAGACACCACAGTTGAAAATGCCATGGATTTAAATGAAATGCCCCTCTACCCTGCTACAACTGAGGAAGAATTGAGGACCCTTGAAGCTAGTCTCGAAAACCGCGTCATTTTTGCTGCACTGGTAAGTGTTGCTGTTCATTGCAGGTGCTGCAAGCTGGTTCAACAATAACATAATGTATTGCTTCAAAATTACTGACATTTCTCCAGGACTACAAGAGTATTGTGTGAATCTCTTTCAGCACGTTTTCATTCAAGGTGAAAGAACTAGGCCAAATTGGAGGTTGTGACATAAGCACGACCATAAAAAAAAGTAATGAAGAGGCTTCTTCATGACAGTGTAGCGGTACTGTACAGCTATACTGGAAGAAAAGGCAAACGACAGGCAGCGGAGCTCAACATTGTTTGTCTTGTATTTGGTAAGGGGACGCAAACTTTTTATGTTCTGGTGTACTCATTACTGTTCGTGAAAAAAAAAAATAATGGTCCTGGTTGCTGTGCATATTATTTCCAGCTGCTGTACGTACAACATGCAAGGCAACAGATGCTGAGATCAGCCACGTGATTGGCGATTGGTTACGCTTTGCCAGTGCAAGGCTCACTGTGTCCAAGGCAAGCAAAAACTTAACGTTTATTATTTTATCATTCAGCCGAGCTATCACTCTTTTTGTCCTTGCCACCTTTAGGTTTATGGCATAAATTTTTTTCAAGCCTTCCTTTGTTCTTTTGTAAAAAAAGAGAAAGTGGTAATGTTTATACTTAAGCTTTTTTTATAGTGTAATCTTACTTAGAATGTTATATATATATATATTACGAGCTCAGTTATGTTCTATTTTTGAATCAAAAGAAGAAAAAATGCAGCACATAACAACAGCTTGTGGTAATCAGTTTTATGGGAAGCAGTCTACGAGTGGTTGGGCTGGAATTTTTTGCTTTAAGTTAAACGTACAAGGTTGGTAGATGTGTTTTGGTCAGTACAGTAGTTATGTGCACATAGGGTTCTTACTAAGCACGTTGGCTACACCAGCTTTATTTATTGCGTACAGTTGGATCTCTGGGTTGTTAGATGACAGTATTTTTCCCACGCCAAAGATACCTGATGCCTTGTCTTCAGGTTTAGATGAGACTAAGTGATGACAGGTTATACCGCTTATTTTTTTCTGTCTGGGTAGAGCGCCAGTATAAAGCACAATTTGGATGAAAGCAGATGGTCTGGGTTTTATGGGGGCTGCCATGCTGCTGTTGGTCATCTTGGTTAGGGAAGCTATTGAGATTACCAGCTGGTAATGGCTACAGTAATTCAGAGTTTGCCAAGTACATGTCAAACGTACTTCTTATAGCTGTAGCATCTCATGAAAGAAGCACAGCTAAAACCCTTGTATATGCCTAATGAAACAGCTTTGCCCAGAACTATATTGTATATACTGCACAAGTCTACTGCCAGTGTACTCCGCATAGCTCCGGCAGCGCTGCAAGGTATCTGCTTCTATTCAGTGATATAAGAGTCAATAGCTTTCAATCTTGAAGTGCGGTCAAGTGCAAGCAGGCAGCAAGTGACAGTATATACCATCGAGGGACCACCATTGCTCTATCAAATGTGATGTGTGATGTTGTCCAGGAAGGTAGCATTATTGCAAGGCAGTGCTGACAGTGAACATTATTGGTGGTTGGACAAAATTGGAGTTTTTAAACAGCTGCTGCGAACAAGTACTTTACAGAGCACTTACAAGGCTACGTGCGTTAATTTTGCCCCGCCGCGGTGGTCAAGTGACTAAGGTACTCGGCTGCTGACCCGCAGGTCGCGGGTTTACATCCCGGCTGCGGTGGCTGCATTTTGGAGGCGGGAATGTTGTAGGCCCGTGTGCTCAGATTTGGGTGCACGTTGAAGAACCCCAGGTTCTCGAAATTTCCGGAGCCCTCCACTACGGCGTCTCTCATAATCATATGGTGGTTTTGGGACGTCAAGCCCTACATATCTATCTACGTGCATTAATTGTGCAGTGGGGGTGAATGGTTTTCATTGTCTTATAAGAAGCATCTGTAATGTTTATGCTGCTACTAAAGCTATTTTGTTTGTTTATTATCTGCAGTAATTCCTGAATATTCCTTGGTTTTGCAGAACAAAGTGCCGCGGCCTGCTTATTGTTGACAGCCAAGCCGCGGATGAGGAATAAGGTATATAAGGGCATTATGCAATAAAGTATATTTGCAATCAAGACATGCAGTGGAGATGAGTTAAGGCTGCCAAACAGCTGCAAAATGTAGAAAGTCGTTGAAACTGCTGATTAGAGTGCTTCAAATAAGTCTGGTTCGGTCCATGCATATATATACTAGCCGCTAACACACATGCGTTCCATCAATAATTTAATGTACTTTAGAACACCCTACTGCATGTTGAACATGTGCTTCAGCTATGATTCGCAAGTTTGTCTTTTCAGTTGAAAAGAGTTCTGACATTGGGCCTGTTTTCAGCATTGCATGAGCATAATTTACAATAATTCTTAATGTTTTTTAAATGTTAAGAGAGTGTAACTTGTAACGTCACTCTTACGTTTTGCTTAACGTTATGCAAACATTATCATAACGTTTTATTAATGTTTACATTATGTTTAAGATAACTTTATTTTTACGTTTATTCAGAACGTTAGCAGAACATTTAGTTTCGATGACATTAACAATATTGTTTCAACATTGAAATTGAACGTAAAAGTAACATTATTGTAACGTATTTGTGCTACTTGGGCTTGTTATTAAGTTTCATACCACTTTCACTGATGCGGTTGAGAACAGTATGCAAGTTAGCATCGTGCTCTTCGCGAGTACGTCCCCACACCAAAATGTCATCCAAGTAACTAAGGGCGCCAATACAACCCTTAAGAATAATTGACATCATTTTCTGAAACACTTCAGGGGCAGATGCAAGCCCGAAACACACGCGGCGAAACCGAAATAAGCCTTCGTGTGATACAAATGTGGTTAAGTCTCTACTGCACTCAGAAAGTTCAACTTGGTGATAAGCGGACGCGAGGTCCAGCTTGGAGAAACATACCGCTCCGGAGAGCTGATGAAGCAGTTCTTCAATGTGAGGAAGTGGAAACCCGTCTATGACGATCGCCTTTATCGGTTCTCGTAAGTCGACGCATAGTCGAAGGGATCCATCTTTTTTCTTGACGACGACCAGTGGAGAAACCCAGTCGGAAGCAGAGACAGGCTCGATGATTCCTCTGGCTTGAAGTCGCGGCAGTTCCGCAGAGACTTGCTCACGGAGAAGAAGAAAAATGCGGCGCAGCTTGGCACGCACAGGGCACACACCTGGTCGACGCATCACTTTATGCACAAAACCGCGCACACAACCCAGTTTACGGGTGAACAGGTGGTGGAATTCAGAAGGCGCGTTGGCCGGAAGATCTTCTTGGACGTCTACTCGAGCACACGTCATAGACGCACCGACGATGTTGATGAACAAAGCCCTGATGGCATCACGTCCCAAAAGCGAGCTCCCATTGGCAGTTACATAAAAAGTAATGGAAGCAGTGCGACTGCGATAGGAGACCTGAGCTGTAAAATTACCTAAATTATCATTTTCTTGGAATATGTTTGCAGAACGACGTGTGAAGGCAAAAGCCGAATGTTGGAAAAATGACTATGAAAGTCAGCGGCACTGATTAAAGAGACTGAGGCACCAGTATCCACGAGAAATGACAAGGGCACATGGCCCACTAAAGCTACGATGCTGAGCTCGGACGTAGTGTCCGAGCTCAGCAGAAAGAAAGCTCAGCAGAAAAGATAAAAAAAAAAAAACAAAAAAATTCAAACACACACATTCGCACTAACTAATAAATACCTGGTGACTGGCCCCCGAAAAAGCCGAACAATAAAATAAGTGCTACGAAGATTTCAACCACTGCCTGATAATTATAAAGACAAGCTCAAAACTTGCAAAAACACTTATCTGCGCAGTCGATCCGGAGCGCTCAAAAAACACGTCCATCCACAGTGACAGCCTGAACCGAACCCCACTTATCTGCGCAGCCGATCCGGAGCGCTCATAAAACACGTCCATCCACCGCACTTATCTGCGCAGTCGATCTGGAGTTTAAATATAATAATAACCAGAATAATAGCCTCGGTCGCGAGCGCCTCCGCGCGGCGCTTGCTCAAAACGGAAGGCAGGCCAACTCCGCTGGGAGCGCGAGCCATTCCCCAGGCATTGTTTAGAGGAGGCGTTGCCCCAGCTTGTTTCGCCATTAGACCGATGCTAGCTCCGGGAGATCGTCGTCTGCTACTTCATGATGTGATCACGGCTCGACGATCACTTAGGATATAATTTCACTTTAATTAGGAGCTGTAAGAAGATGCTAGATTAGATTACTACGAGCGGGCGCGTGTTCTACGAGCGTGGCGCATCATCAAAGTCGTCTTTAGGTCTAACTCCGCTGATGGAGAGACGAAATTTGCTGGAAAGAACGACACGCTAGCGCACTCGTACCAATGTGCTTCTTTGCAAGCAATAAAGCACATCACTCGCTAGCTCCTCGGAACCGCGGACGGGCATTTTATGCATGGGCAGTGGACCCCACAGTCAAGCTCATCAACACCCCTCACTGCTAAGGATTGCTGGAATAGCG